CTATGACAAACTGATATTATAATATCTTGCAAATCATTGAGCTATGTCTAGATCTTATAAAAAATTTTTATCTATATTACTTTCTAGTTGTGGGATTATTTTATTATACATCTCCAAGCTTTTATTGCAAATTTTCAGCAATCGCTTTCAATATCTTAAGAATTTCTTCTACTTTAAGTTCTATATCTTTAACTTGAGATATCAAAGTTTTTGAGTCTTTGATAAACTGTATTTCTTCTTTTATTTCCTTTAGATTTCTAGAATTTTTTACTTCATTTATTTTTTCTTTAATGGAATCAAATTCTAGAGAAATGGATTTTCCCATTTCTCTAATTTTTCTTAGAGTATTTTCATTGATAATTTCCATCTCAAGAATTTTATCAGTAATAATTATGTGTTCTGTATGGATTATGCTTCTAGCTACTGTATTAAGTTGATATATGTTAATCCAATCTATTTTTTCCTTATTCATGTTGATTTTAATATTCCAATAATTTCTCTTAATTTTTTAATTCTTTGTTCTCAAAATCTAATTTGTCTATTATATAGTTGTGTTATTGAGTTTATTCTTTCTTTTTCTTGGATTCTTTGCCTTAACTCAATTAAAAGGTTTTCTTTGATTTTAGCTAGAATTTCTTCTTTGGGATGAACCATTTGCTCAATTTGGTTGCAAATGTTTATTATAGTCCTTGTATATGAGGCTATATCTACCATTAGAATTTATTGGGGCTTTACTTATCGGTTTTGTATTCTTTGAGGACTAACTACTTAGTTTTTCTTTTAACTTAGACTTAACGTCTTCCATTAACTTAAGGTTATAGATCCTTATACTTTTAAGTTCAGCGTTGTAAATCCTTACACTTCTAAGTTTAGGGTTATAAATCCTACACTTATAAATTCAGGGGTAAACTCCTTCAAAGTTAGTGAGTTAAGGGGCATTTCAAGGACTTATGCCACCATAACCCACATAGCATCCATTTCCCTCGATTCCTCCGTTCCATCATCCCCTACATAAATTGCCCCCAAACTTTTGCGTTTTTTCTCTCGCAACCCCAACTACTGTAGTTGCCTAGATGCTGCCTTAAGCGCACTACTAAACCCACTTTCAGCCTACTGCTCCTCATCCACAAAAATCTTTGGCCCAACTAACTCTACCCTACTTGACCTAAACTTCTCTAGCTTGTTTGATTCAAAATTTTCAACTAATCATATTCCATTACCACACAGTCTTCGATTAAAATGGCTTCATCATCACCCAAAAATTTGTTTGCATTAAAACTTGCTTCACTATCACCATCACCAAAATATTCAGAGCTAGATTCAAATCTTGCCAAATTCCATCGTTCACCAACCAACCACCAATTTGGATCCATTCACCACTCCTCCTCTGACACTACGATCGGAAAAGCCTAGCCATCCACCATTAAAGTAATTGTGTTTTAGATCTTACTCTTTTCATCACTCAAAATCAAGACCCTACCTTCACACAAAAATGATTTACTCTTCATATCCTCATCAACACGTATCACCTATCCAATTAAGCCACCTAACTTTGCAAAGCATCTCTCGCTCCATGCCTTCAAGGGACACTAGTAAATTGAAGCCATGCCATTCTATTCAATGAAGACATTGTAGTTAAAGGACGTGGCTATATGCATTCAAACTAGGACTCCACCAATTCCCTATTACAGTTGATAAACTCCTCAAGGCATCTTTCCAAATTACCCACTAATAAAACTGATGCGCTAAAATCACCCTAACAATTGTACTAGTCGCTCCAAGTAATATAATGATGAGAGAGTGTCGAACCCACGAGGATTGTATCTAATTAAGTACCAAAATAATTAATCTAAATTTATTTGAACAATCTAAAAGATGGAATTTTAATTAAAATAAGAAACTAACAATTAAAATAAAACTAACCAAGATATGAAATACTAAGGTATTGACTTCACCATAATCAATCAATATAAATTCTGGATTACCAAATTGTTGAGTGTTATTGCATGTGATGGCGGATTTCCCTAAATTAATTAACTAACTTTCTCAAGTCAAGTTAATCCTTCGCTTGTTTGTTAAATTAATCATATCTCTATGTAATTTTAAACAAAATTATGAGCATTAAATTCTATGGAAACCTCTAGCTTAAGAAGGAGGAGCTCCTAAGTCTTTTCTCTTCCTTCACTACTACATGTGAATTAATTACTTCTCGATCTCATAGTCTAGCACACGATTTATATTATTATTGGTCTAATTCACACAATTTTTTTTCAAGTTCATGCATAAATCACTAAATTAATTGAAAGGTAATCAGACTTCCAATGTATTAAATTCAATAATATAAACTCCTCATGCAAATAACTTTAATTGAAAGTATAAAATCATAAAATCTATATTGAATTAATTAGGCTGCGTCGTAACCCTAGTAGAATAAATTAGTTTATAATAAAAATAATAAAATCTGAAATTATAGTTATGAACATTTAAATATCAAACAATAGATAAAAATCCAAAGAAAAACAAAACTCAATTTGAGGAAATTGAACTCCTTGATCTCCTATTGTTGATGGATCTCGATCTTGATCTCCAAGAGTGCCCAAAAGAGGGATGCCAGTATCCTCTCAAAACTCCCATAATTCTAAATTTGGATGGATATTTATAGGATTTTAGAAACCCTAATTGAAATAGAAGTAGGATCCGGAATAAAAATAGGACTTGGAATAGAAATAGGAAACTAAATTTTGGATGCTAATCACATGGTGCTGACACTTCGGATTACGTGTTTGACATAAAATAGGAAACAGAATCTGATTCCGGACGTTTAACGCATGGTGTCAACACCCCGGTTACGTGTCGACACTACACCCATGTCGTGTTTTTGGCCTTTTTGCAATTTCTTCAATGGTAAAATAGCAGATCTGGTCCTCCAGATTTCGTACTATGAGCACTTAGATTCCAAAAATCAAGATTCATTCATTTAGGTTCCAAATGATCGCCCTTCTTCTTGCAATTCAGTCCCTCAACTTTTAGAAAATATTCAATAAATCCTAAAAACTCTTATTTTATGCATTCAAATCTTTTCCTACACAAAGAATGAAAATCATGTAAAGTCTCATAAAACTCAATAAAATCTCATAAAACTCATCCAAATATTAATAATATCAAGACAACAATTCCACATTAATATGTATACAATTTCAACTCATCAAATTCCTCCAAACTTAAGTTTTACTCGTCCTCGAGTAAAATAAAAAGACAAAAGAAACAAAAATAAAATCTAACTCACTTTTGTAGGAATCACAATTGCACTTAGCATGTCCAACAAGTCTTTAAACCCCTAGGTCACCCTAGTGGACGAGTTGTGTCTCGTGAGGATTTGCAGCGGATCTACCCACAAAATCTCAATGCAAAAATGCAACTATATGATATGTATGCAAAGAAAATTTAGGAATTAAAGTTCAATTAGAAGCAAAGTCTCAAATATTCAAAAGTTCTCATATGCTCACTTAAAGTAAAATACTCCATCTTATTCTTCACACCACTTGTCAAAAGATTTAGCCCATGAGCACTTAGTGTGTGGGTGTGGGTGGAAATTCATAGTAAAAAGTTTCGAGTTTAAACCTTTATACCTTAGCACTTATTACTATCTTTTATTTTTTTTAGTCCCCTCAAAAAAAAAATTTTTTTCATAGGTCGAGTTTCCTTATGCTTTCTAAGTTACCCATGTAACGAGCTTTTTCTCAATGACTCCCAAACCAGCTAGCTTTAGGGCATTAGGTGAAGAGACACCCATAAGAACATACTTACTCAAGTAACAAAGGCCACAAAACATTCGACTTCTCTTCTTCATTTTTTTTTTTCTTCAGCCATACAACACATTCTTCCCTAAGTTATCACTTGTTTTTTGACCCGAATACTAACATTTGTGATGAAAGCACCCGGTTACTCAACAAGTCATAAACTCAAAGTGCTTTGCATACTCATATTTCAAGTCGCCGTTTGACATGAAAATTGACATGGGATTCATGCCTAACCCCCAGTTACTAAGCAACTAGAAACATTGGAGTAGAAATTAATAAACTCTTTTGTGTGTTGGCTTTCCTTTTTT